TATCACAATCCCCAACTTGAAACTGTATTACAAAGCTACTGTGATAAAAATAGCATGGTACTGGAATGGGAAGTTATTTTCTATCTCTTTAAAAACAGACTCTCTGCATAAATTATTGAAAACTTCCCCTGAATATATGTTTATGTATTTTCACTCATTCATTTATTGATTCAATCAATTATTTTTATCCTTATGGACTCATAGATATTTGTTTTATATTTTCCTCAGTAACTAAATGGTCTCTTATTCATTTTTTGCTCAAATTGTTCCAGTTTTGGCTATTGATATCTTTAACTGGCTCCTTTATCCCTTTGACATACCCACCATTTTGTATGTGTATGTGTATTTGAACCCACTAACTTTTTGGCATTATAAGATGTTCTAACTTATCTTGTATATTTCCTTCCTCAAATTATTGAGTCCTAGACTCCAGAATTTCTCTGACAGCTCTGATTTTTTCATTAGCAAATGATATTGCAGACCAAGTTTTTGTGGTAAGAATGTTTGTTTCTTCTGAGTATCATTGCTGCTAAGCCTTTGCAGCTGTTAAATCATGGAGATATGAGTGTATGTAGTAACTAATATCTGCCAATTTCTATAAATATTTTTATATGTAACCGCTGTATGTGTGGAAAGCTAAAGAAGAGTTTATCTTGATGTCTCCAGCTCCAATATACATGGATTATTCTAGCCTTCTCCCCTGGTAGTCTTTAATTCCTACTCCAAGAGTGAGAAGCTATCTGCCATTTATTTATTTCATTATTTAATTTCAGAATACGTGAATGGTGTTTCAGAATTATTGACTTGTATGCCCATGAGAAACATTACCAAAGTGCAGTTCTTGCTTGCAATTCCCTTGAGTTTGGTCTTTCAGGTTCCAATCACTTTCAGAATTATTTAGGTCAGCACTTGATTCTCTATCCACTTCATTGAGATTGCTCATGTATCTTTATAATGCATTTGAATTCTTTTTGTGTGTGCATGTGGTGTTTTTGCCTTCCATCCTGGGATTCCCCAGTCTGCTAATTAATCTTTTTTTATTCATTAAGGTTCACACAATGGGATAAAGCTCTATGGGTTTCAACACATGTGTAATTCCTTGGACTCTATTATACAGAGTAATTTCACTGCCCTAAAATAGTCCTTGTGCTTTTCATATTAACCCTTCCCCCTACTCCCATACTTCTGGAAAAGTGTACTTTTATTTTTTAAAACTTTGATTGGGATTGAACTTCTACAGAAATTACCATAAAAGTCAAAGCTTAGGAAATAGAATGCTTCCTTCTTGTGGAAGTTGTTTTAAGCAAATTAAGCATTTAATGTTTCATAAAGTCATATTCCTTAAAGTCCAAGGATTGTGGATGTTTATTTTTATCATATTAATATTTGTGTGAACAAAAAAAGTAAAATAGTTCAAATTGGAGAAAAAGATCATTGAAATGGGGAAAATAATGACTGAGTTTGAAAGGTCGAAAAAGTGAACTAGCAGGTCATACTGATTTTTGTATTTTTAACTTTCAAAAATATTTGAAAAGATTTTCTTTTATACAACTGAATAAATTTCAAATTGTTACTTATTTTGTTCAAAAGGAGACCCACCTTTCCCCTCTCCTTTTTTTCACTTTTTCTTCTCTTGTCTTTTCTTTCTTATTTTCTCCTACAAAAGTATTTTCTCTATGAGTTCTTATAATAGACTTTGAAAATGCAGAGAAGAAAATAGTTACCCATGCCCTCGAGGACCTTTCATGTTATTTTTGAGGCAGGAAAATATGAAGGAGCAATGGAATACAGTAATTGTTCTATTGATACATCAAGAACATAAAGGAATAGAGGAATAAGCTTGCCTTGTAGGGTCAGGGAAGGCTTCCAGTTGAGCTGACACCTGAAATTTGGAGGAGGTTAATGTTTGAGAGAGACAGGAAATGTAGTGTAAAATATCCTGTTAGCTTACAGTTCAAGTTACCCATTAATTGCAGCTAGAGAGATGGAGGTAGAATGGAAATGGTATTATGGTTCATGAGGCTAACAAGCATGGCTCATGAAGGGCCTTGGGTCAGATTTTATTTTAGGAATAATGAGAGAGCCACTGAAAGATTATCAGCAAAGCAATGATTACATCGTACAGCTTGATAACCAGTGGGGAAAATTAGAGAGTGTACAAAACTTGGTCTTAAAATATTTCAAAGGTGGCTATTACTACAGTTAAAATAGGAGATGATAAAGGTCTACAAAGGTCTTTTGGTCAACAACAGAAGGGAAGGAGCAGCAACAAATATTGAGAAATATTTTAACAAATATATGGAATTGAAGTTGGGTGCAGTGATATGGATTGGTAGTCCCAGCTAGTCAGGAGGCTGAGGCAAAAGGATCTCTTCAGCTTGGGAATTTGTGACAAAAAACAAACAACCCTCAAAGACATGAAAAGAGGAAGGAAAGAACAAAGTAGCACTGAAGGATAAAATCCAGTGTTTCCTAAACCCTACTGATCTTCATTCTCATTAAAGAAAATTTAAACTTTGATGGGAAAGAAGCACATTTTGTGTAATTTTATGGATATTTGAAGGTAATATTTATGATATTTTCAAGAATGAGTGCTAGCATTTCCTTAAAATGTTAATTCAAGAGGAACATAGTTTAGACTTTTCTTCTTATTAAAATTCTAAATGTTATTAGAAGGAGAATGTTAAAAGTCAGTTTAGAATCCTGTGGCTCATGTGTATGACATGAAAATGAATTTCAACTTAAAGCTCTTCCCTGTCATGGAGAAATTCTTTTCATGGTTTTTGAACATGCAATTTGTAGACACTGAACTCTTCAACCATATTGGTGATTATGATATCAGTCTAGAGTTTAATGTAAAATATTTTGCTTTCTGGCAGGATGAATCCTTAAAGCAACTCCAGGTTGTGCATCAGCCATGGCTCTTGCCCAGTGACACAGAAAGCGAAGGAGTGGAAGCAGAACAAGATAAACGTGAGTAGTTACTGCTATTTATTGACAAATTGCTTTTATCCAAAGGAAATTCATAATAAAAGTATTTACTTTTCGTAACACTAAAAATCTTCTGAAAAAAAGCCAGACCTATTGGGAAGAACACTTAAAGATAAGCTATGCTTTCAGTCTGTAAATCTTGATTCAGTGATGAATAGATTGTTGCATAAAAATCCATAAACTAACTTCTTGAAAAGAAATAATTTTATTTTTCTGAATTAAACCAACATAGAATGTTGGTCAGAAATACCAGAGATGGGCCGGGGATTTAGCTCAGTGCTTTCACTGCCTGCTGCTCGAGCGCAAGGACGCGAGTCCGATCCCCGGTACCAAACAAAACAAAACAAAACAAAACAAAAAAAGCACACACACACACACAAACACAGCAGGAGAAATACCAGAGAATTATATTAGGGACAACTTTCAATTATTTCAGGGCCAGGGATTTAGCTCAGTGGTTCCACCACCTGCCTCGCAAGTGCAAGGTCCTGAGTTCAATCCCCAATACAAAAAAAAAAAAAAAAAAAAAAAATTAAATAAATAAATAAATAAATAAAATTTCAAAGTATGTGAGGGTCAGGTGATTATTATAAATGAAAATATCTTTATTGGTTAAAAGAGCAAATTTATGCATATAGAAACTGTTCCACAAATTAATATTATTACAGAACTTAAGGTAAATAGAATATATTGCTCTTGCTTAACTGGATAATAATTATAAAAAACCATAAATCATGTCCTGATCTCCAGAAAATTTGTGACATTGTCACACACAAGGGTTCTGCAATCCAGTTCAGAGATTTGTGTCTGGAGTATATAGAAATAGCGTGGAATTTTAAAATAACAGCATATCAAAACATTTTACCAGTAATACAATATTGAAAGAATTTTGTATGATAACCTACTTTCATCATAACTGGTGTGATTAATTAATAGCTCTTGCAAGCCACAACCACTAGAGATGCTTACTATGCTATACAGGTAGCATCATGGGATTCTGTATTATCGAATGGCCAATAAATTACTTTTCCAGGTAAAAAGACATTTTACAGTATCATAATCCCACTTCCATAGCCACATGATCATGTGGCTAGAAGTAGCACAGGTTAGAGAGGAGTATAATGATCAGGGTACCTAGAGTAGGGGCAAATACAATGTCACCCAGGGGCATATTCAGAAATGCAGTGAAAAACATGTTGACACTTTATAGATCCTATGGGCGGGGCACCTTCCATGGAAAACAAACATTTGGAAAACTCTTAAAGAATAATGTTCTTTAAAAAGTAGCAAAAGTTTTTTTTGTTATTTTTTTTATAAAATGGAGTACTACTCAGCCATAAAGAATGAGAAATCAGGGCCAGGGATTTAGCTCAGTGGTTCCGCCGCCTGCCTTATGAGTGCAAGGACCCAAGTTCAATTCCCAGTATCAAAAAAAAAAAAAGAATGAGAAATTAGAGACATAGCTAAATGGATGCACACTGAGGCAATACTCTTAAGTGAAATAAATAGGACACACATGTGTAAATACTGAATAGTTTCTCTGGTGTGGGAAACTGAAAGTGTAAATAAGGACTGAAAGGTATAATAGATAATGTGAAATAGGAAGAAAAGGGGCAAAGGGGAAGGGAAAGTAGGAGGGGTAAGGGAAAGGAAAGAAGGGAAAGGAATTAATATGAGAAAGTGGAAAAAATGTAAACAAAGTCTTTGAACATAGGGAGGGGTGGAGGGGTTGAAGGGAGGGCAAGGGAATGGGGGAAAAAAGAAGAACCAAGAGAGATTACAAATTGCAAATTCCCAGTGATGAATGTCATTATCTTATATACCTAAAGTTTACCAATAAAATTAATTTTTAGAAAGTAGTAAAAGAAGAGAATACTTTGGAAGACCTTTAAGCAAGAAATCTTAAGTAAAATTGTCTAGGAACAAGCAGCGTGTATACAAAGAAGAGAGCCTCCAAATCTGAAACAATGGGGCTCAGAACTTTTATGGAAAAAAAATGCAAGCACAAGCATACTCTTCCCCCTTCTCCACCTTCCCATATATTTAAATATCACATAAGTTATTTATTCTAGAATTTGTGTTCAATACCAAATTCTTTTAAGGATTTCATAATTTCTTTATTTAAAAAACCCCAGCAATTGTGTGTATGTAATGTCTAAACACAACATATATAATTTGTGCAGTTTTACTCTGACTGTTAGACCCAACAGACAGGCACCCAAAATTGGCATAATTAGGTAAAATGTAGTTGCATGTATGTTTTGTCTTATAATGGATTGAAACAAGTATGAGAAAAGAATCAATCAGAATGCTGTGTAGTATCTGATTCCAAGTTCACACTCAAATTTCCTTTCCTAAAACCCATCAGTATCAAGACTAAAACACATAGCTTAATAATGTAAAGGAGATAAAAATCTCCAGATTTTCTTCAGTACTTGACATCTGATGCATACTATCTTTTACATATACCTTCAGGAGATTTTGAAAATAAATTGTAATTTTCTCCTCTTCTACTACAGTGCAAATTATTTGAGAGGAGTCCCCCTGTCTCCTTTGCATACAATAAGCCCTCAATAAGTATCAGAAGAGTGAATAAATGAAGGAGCAAATGAATGTGTGAATGAATGGATTCTTTTAGTTCTTTCCAATTTATTTAATGGGACAGTAAGAAATGTAAAACCAGTAATAATTGTGACTATGCATAATTGTTGTAAGATATTTGTAGTTTTATTATAATTTTAATATCAGATTCATAGTTTTATTCATAGATTTTACTGAATGGTCTATCAATTATTCTAAAGAAGGTCATTCCTGAATTCTTGTAACCATAGACCTAGAACCAAAAATATTTCATCTCAGTAATGCTGTACTGGGAAGTGACCCTTGACAATGGTAAATTGTTTGAAATAAAATCAGGGTTGAGATAATTAGGTGGTAATAGGATCCATCTGGAAATGGAATGCTAGTTAGCATTGCAGGCAGGCTTATAGCACAGACTCATACCACAGAGATGCAAATATTTTTCAAGAGTGGCTTCCAACATCCAGGTGCTGGGATATGTGCAAGTTGGAGCCACTGAAGCATTGGCGTCTCTACTCATACTTGCATTCCATACATGTGGTTTGTGGAACAGCTGGCAAGATAGATGTAGATTATCTACTTCTGTTTTCTCAGTGAAAGGAAATAACTGACATAAATCCATGTGAGCCAAGCATCTGATTAGAGTTTACTAGAAATTTATGAGTGGGAAAGAGGAAAGTTCATCATTTCAACAGTAACACCTGTTTCTTGACGCAGCTTTCTATAAATAATTCCTAGTAATATTATGCAATTCTGCAATTTCTCTTGAGACAAAATAATCATGGCAGAAAATTTCCAAATAATATCAGAATCTTTGCATCGGTACATATTTCTTATTCAATCATTTAAAGATTTAGCTCACATAAATTTTATAAATGAGCACCTTTTAAGAAAAGATATTATGAACAATTAAATAAGAAGCTTTATAAATTTTTATTATAAACAAGATAAGCAGAATCTTTTTTAGCAAAACATATATTGGTACATTTTAGATATACATAATGATAACATTCATCATAGGGAATTTGTACCAGTACATGATATATTTTGCTGCTGCTTTTTTCCCCACCCCCATGTACAAAAGCTATGTTTCCATTATTTTCTTTGATTTTTTTCTCTTTTTTATGAACCTTTGATTAAGTAGTTTTTTTTTCTTTACTATGCTTTTAGAAGAAAAATATAAATTTTAAGTACAAACACACTGAATTTTTTTTCAAAAAAAAATTATTTCAAATAATTTTTTCAAATTATAGTCTGAAGTTGCTAAATAAATCTATCTACAGATTTGTGTACCTGCTAGGTTATTCCATATTCTTGGGGAGAACTTTGAGCTTATTGAGTCAGAATTTCTGTGTATGAAACTTGGATTTCTGCATTTTAATAATTCCTTATGTGATTTTTGCCTATGCTGAAGACTAATGAAAGGAAAATTTTAATGAATCAGAAAGTTATGTTTTTAGCCTTTAAAATTTTTTTTATTAATTGTATTGGTACATTTAAGGTATACAATATAATGACATTCATCATTGGAAATTTGCACCTTTACATAATCCATCTTGGCTCTTATTTTTTCCCCCTTTCCCTGCCCTCCCTTCAACCCCTCCACCCTCCCTATCTACAAAGACTTTGTTTCCATTTTTTTCTTTTTCTCATATTAATTCCATTCTCTTCTTTCTTTCTCCCTACCCCTCCCATTTCTGCTCACAGGCCTCTTTCTTCTAACATAAATTAAGTTTGGGTATAAAATATAGGGCTAAAGAAGAAAGAAAACTCAAACATGAAGGAAGAAATGTGGAGGAAAATTGGACAGATTCTACAGACTGTGGGTTCAATGCTTACAAAATTAAGTCACTAAACATTTACAGTCAGTCCAGCCAGCATCCTCTAAGTACATTTTATATTTTAAAAAATATGAATAACCAAGGTAAAAGCAAACTACAGAACAATGACAACAACAAAACAAAACAAAACAAAATAAAAACAATATAAGACAAAACAAAGCAGGTGCTTAAAGAAAAAATAGTCAGAATGATACCTAGAAGCTAATGATGATAGCCAGAAAGCAATAAAGAGTATAAAGAGATAGAAAATTTAACCTACAACTTAAGATGGATATATAAATGCATATATATCTCATATTACATATACATATTATATGCACATATATAGCTTACAATATTCATATATGTATACATACATATTACAGATACATATTTATGTATATTCCAAATTCCAGAAGAAGAGAAAATATAGAAAGACAGGCAGTGATGAAAGATACAGTGATTGAGATGTTCCCAGAATTAATAAAATGTTTTGATTTTCAAAATGGGAAACATAGTAAACACTACTTATTTTAATAATCACGTTGTAAAAAATATAGCACATAACTAAGAGAGAAAATC